AGCATTAGATGTCCAGATTTTTTGTTTCTTTAGTAAATGAAGCCAATTCAGTTGGTCACTTTGTGAATTTTTTTCTCTGTTTTTTAATCAAAATTTTAAATATAATGTCTTCTTAAATGGGAAATATTAAGTACAAAGTATTTTCTTTTTTTTTAGCCATGCATTTTTTTTGTTGTTGTCCTGTCAACAAATATCAAATATATAATAGACATATCAAGAAACCACGTTTATTTTACCATTAAATGTTCCCATTGTCCAGAAGCTTTGTGTCGACCACAACATTTTCTACTTCCATAGGTACAGTAACTGTTGCAGTAGTAAAAACAGAAATAATTTCCTTTTGGCATGTATAGTTAGTTCCATTTGAAGAGACCATTAGCCACAAAAAGCATAATTAATTTAAACAAAAGTATTTTCAGTTTGATTCCCACGGAGGTTTGTTTTTGTTTACTCAACGAGTTGTGATATGTGACAGATTACAGTAATTATCCCCGTGAATACCTATTTTAAATTTAGAATTTACAAAGTGGGCTTTTTGTCACTACAGTGAGATGTTTCCATGCAGACAGCCAACCCCACCCTGACTGGGGCTGAGCATGGCTCTCATCATAAGACCAAGTGGAAATGAGTGTGACGAGAGGATGAGCCGTGTCTTTCTCTCTCTGTCCTCTGCTCAGCATCTGTGTGTCCGTTCGTCCTGGTCTGTGATGTGAGTCTCGTTTGAGTCTCGCTGCGGCAACCGGAGGGTTAATAGGAAACAGCAGATGAGTGCCTGCGACCGTTACCCAGCTGTTGCATCATGCTGGGATCCCAACTCCCGCCAGATGCTACGTGGAAAGCTGCAGCCCTGTGTTGCAGTCGATGACTGTAAATATGGACGTCACTTCCTGTTTTCCACTTGGTGGTTATGATTGGCTGCTTTAGAATGGAGGGAAGAGATTCAAAAAGTAAAAAACAGATGGGTGTTTATATAACTTGACACTAAACAACGGAAATACAGCTGGAAGTGTGATTAGTCGGGGTTGATAAAGGATTATTCCCCTCTGCTTCTCTTCTCACCCTCTCACTTAACAAGTGGCCAAGATTCTTATGCGCTCTTATATTTTAAATTGTATTTCTACTTAACATCCAATTTAGTTATGAAAGCACAATCTTTCTGTAGTGGTTGCCTTTTTTAAAATAAATGTTTAGCTGTATTTAAGAACAGTTTCTGGTCACAGGCAGTGGATCAAAAGATGAGTGTCCTCAACTAGAAGTGTTTTACATTCTTCCTGTCTCTCCGCTGCTATCTCTTCAGCACAAAGAATTCAGTCATCTTGGAATAATCCTGCTCTTTCATTCCTCATCACTGAGTGTTCGAGTGTGTGGGGAGATAGTATTAGTGCAGTTCTGGGGGCTGGTAAATTCCTCCCAATAACATGAAGTCACTGTTTCTCTTTATTATCGCCTGCAAGAATCCTGCTGAAGCAGCGTGATAAGTTGCATGTTTTTTGCTTCTTTTTGTTTTTTCCCTGCATATAGAGCCCTTCACATCTACTGATGCTCGTGATAAAGATGCTTAACAGCATAATCTCACACAGAAAAATGTGCAGTTTTTTTTTTTTTTTTCATTTAAATATATGTCAGTTTAGTCCCAAGTTAAGAAATAGTTTCTTTCAGAATCACTTTGGACACAGTTGGAAGATAGCGACCCTAATAATTCAACTGAAACTTTATACATTTATGTTTCATTTATTTCTTTGGATTGATGAAACATAATAATTTATAATAACTAGACCCCATCGACATTCCAGTCAGTCTGGGAGGAATGCTAAGTAAAAAGCTACTCGGACTTTAACTGGGACCAGACGCTTTGGTCAGATGAGATGCAGATTTCAATTTTTCAGGTACGTTTATGTGATGATGACTCTGTGGGCTTTTCCTCAACCAAAGGTGCTTGGAACCTTGTAGATTCTTGAATTTATGGCATCACAAATTTTGACATCTTAGTAAATTTTAAATAAAATTTGGTGGCCCCCAACCAACAGACAATGGTAGCACAATAAGAAATCGAAGCATAGGGCCATATCAACACAATGGTGGGGTTAATAAAACAATTAAGAGGAATTAAAAACCCAATTAAGCCTTGTGGTTTTGTACATAGTGCAGTGGAATATTGCCACAGCAACTTATTTTTAGGCATTTTAAACATCTTATTTGTGGTGAGTATTGCATTTTCTATTACAATATTTAGGAGAATATACTCCCACATAATGTTGACCCCAAATCTTAATATACTGATTTGGGGTCAACATTTAGTTTTGCATCACAATTTAACCAATTGTAGAATGAAAGCAAAGCAACGTCAATATGTTATTTACAGAGGCCCAATGACATTTTTGTCATTTTAAAACATTTCTTCTGTTTAAATTAAAATATTGCCCAGGGAATAAATGGATCCTTTCAACTAATAATTTTCCATTTTCTTTTGTATTCATGTTTTAGGGATTAGCTGTTTTAAGATGAGCTACACTTTAAGAACAAAAGGAGGCATTTTTAAAGCAGATTTCCCCACAGCTGTGTTCCCTTCATCACACCAACCTCTGCCTTTCTCCATGTGTGCCACATCTTTCATGTGTGATAGTCAGAGGTTGTTTGAATGGCACCAGAAGGCTGGCATGCACCGTATTGCAGCTCCTCCACCGCAGACTGTTAACTTTGCATTCTCCATGTGAGTGTGCTGCAGTTATTCAGTCAGCAGGCTCTTTGATGGTTTGCTTACATTTGGGAGGGAAACCACACATAGCTGTGGTGTAATGCCAGTGCTGTTGAGCCCGATGTGTTGTTCCAGCAAAGCTTCTTCTATTTCTGATATCTTCCTATCGTTTCGTTACAAAGCAGCCGAAGTGTTGCTGTTTGTTTGTGAAAATTATTCATTTAATCTGTTAATACACAGATAGTACGCACTATATAACCATGATTCATTGGGCTTGTATTAGAGTGGTACTCCTTTTTTTTCTACACCTTGACTCTTCATATTATGCTACAAGAAATGACATAAAAGGATCCACTGATCCACTTTTTTTTGCTTGTGATAACGATACAGATATCTGAGCTATAGTACTGGCTGACATCGATCCGATACAGAAAAATAGTGCTAAATTGACCTAAAACACAGACATAAATGCACTGAGTTCCAAATATAATTCTGCACCAGTACAGCACTCTTAAATTCACCAATAGCTTCACAAACTTGGTCAAACACTAAAAATAGCCCAACTTTCACTTGTGCAGTCAGTGCACTTAGGAATGTAACAGCCAATACAAAATAAATAATAAAGAAACTGAAACTATCGGTTGACTACCTTGGTCTAACATGTAAAAATAAACTGCAGCAAACCTTCTTTAAAATGGTTCATAAAGTGCAATTAGCAATTCTAAATATAATGTAAAATAAATAATAAATTATGACGTTCCTCAGATCACAAACCATAGAATTAAACTGAATAGATCTTCCCTTATGGATGTGGAACATTGTCACCGATACGCAGTAAAAAAAAAATTATTTCAATATCTCGACTAATGCAGACATTAATAATTCCTTGGCATCTCTATTTATAGACAACTGAATGAGTGATTTCAGAAAGTGTGCAAATAAACATCGTAACCTTCTTTCAGCCATCTGGCTGGGAGTGCACAGCATTATTTCATTGTATCTTTTAAAACTCCGTATACTTTAATGCCAGCGATTGGTGCCTGTTACTATGGGATTTGTCCAGATAACGGTATCTGCCGATATTCCATTTATCGGCTCTGACCAGTGATTGGTAATTGTGGAAGTGATTTCTTTCTTTCTGTTCAATAAGTGTTTAAAAGCTAAGATCTCCCAGTCCCAGTATGTCTCTTTTTAAGTTTAAGGTAAGGGTTAGGCACATATGCTTTGATTCATGAATGAGGAGAACCTTGTCATTTCTTAGTTTTCTTCATACTTCCATCTGAGATGGTGTAGCATTTTTTTCCCCTTTATAGGTTAGAGTCTTTCAAAAAAAATCAAAGCATTATAAGTGTATCTCTAGATATTAAGTATCATCAGGATATTTAGATGTTGTTTTTCATTTTTGTCAGGTGGTATCAAATGTCCAATAGAGTTCCTGTTGAATAAATTTGCAGGACAATCTGAGTGGTAACTGGGCTAAAAAGCTGATCCATTTTGCATTTGAGACAGCTGTTGATCCAGTTGTGATTTTCTTTTAGCCTTGTCATGCAAGGTAGTGAAGTGTGTAGCTGATTAAAATTTTCCTCCGGGGATTACTGAGCTGGTATACTAAGTACTTAAGAGGTCAAGAGATCAAGCGCTTAGCTCAATAATCTTTAATTCTTCCTCTGATGGGCTTTTTCTAGACACTTTATACTCATAAAAGAGAGTTCCTGTTATTTTACCGTCATTTTTGTCTAAACCGCTTAAAAGTTCAACATAAAGGCTAAATCAAATGCAGAAAGTTTCTCCATTTTGCTCAGACAATACTTCTCCTGCTATCCTATGACAGCATGGAAACTTCAGTTATGGCAGGATGCCGGTGCTGCTTTAATTTTACGCCCAATTGCTCAGTGAGACAGCAACAGTTACTCTAAGCCACACTTGAAGTTAGTTTGTAAACAGTTCATGTCGCTTTGGCAGGAGTTAGTTGTGTTTAATTTAGTCGTTTCAGGCCGGGACAGTTAGAAAGTAACCGGGGCTGGCTCTGACCTCCTTTCCAGCCCGTCTGAAGAGGAGGGAAAATAAACTCGCTGATGGGTAGGCCTGCTAACATTCCTACATCACTTCCTCCTCAAACATCTGGCAGTCATCAGAGCAGGCAGAGAAAAAGAGAGGATCTACCCAGGCCTCCTACTTCCAGCAACCAGCTGAGAAAATGAAGCAGGAGACAAAGACACCAAAAAAATGAAAAATAAAGTGTAATGCATGTTCCTTCCTGTGGGAAGAGATGTCTGACGATTTTGTTTTTGCTTATCTTTTTCAGGATGGCCTAGCTTTTCTGCACGGCCAGTGGTCTGTCAGCTGTGGTCTATCACCTGGACCAGAGGTTTGTTCTAAAATGCATGGAAATTTATCGTTATATTAATTTCTGTAGATTGAAAATGTTATAAATGTAGTGTTATTATTGCAGGATCATGTTTGTTTTCCTCCTTACTTGCTGTAAACTGTACTGCGTTGCTCATCACTGTTTCACAGAATTTTTTGCTCTTCTGTGAACAAACCTGTCTAATTTCAGACGCATTGGGCAGTGACTGTGGTCGGGACTTAAAACAAAAAACGGAAACTTCCTGCTTACTATTAACCCACGGATTCTGTTTGCCTTGGTCTCAGGAGGTGTGTAGTAGAGGCAGCAGTAGGGCGCAGAGATGAGCGTGACCTCCTGGTTCCTTGTGAGTAGCGGGGGGACTCGTCATCGACTCCCCCGGGAAATGATCTTCGTGGGCAGGGATGACTGCGAGCTCATGCTGCAGGTGAGGACGCTTCATAAAGATTTTGTTTTTGTTGGTCTCCAGCAGAAAGGAGACGCTTCTTTTCCTACTACTTGAGTTTATTAGTGACTTTACACAGTTCTTTCTGTATCTGCATGTTGGTCTTCGTGTGTGTGTGTGTGTGTTATGTGTTGTTGCAGCTGCATACATCCAGAGAGACCTCGTGTACACTCATGTGTATCTCTGGTCACTGCACTAATAATAGAAAGTGGGGCAGATACCTCTTGAGTTAGATCTTATCTGACTGAGTCATTCGTTGTGGGTAGAGTGTTTACAACTACTGGGACAATATTACTTGAGCGTAGTTCTTACTGGTCCCACTGTCTGTATAAAAAAGCATTCAGGATTCTTTATTTCTATACATTTTTATACACTCTACGTGTTTAAAGATAATCACTGCTTTTGTTTTTGTTTTGTTAAAGTTTTCACTTCTGGCTTTATAGTTTCTAGGAGGATTTCAATTTGAAGACTTGCAGCAAATAAAGATCATGAACCTTTTTTATGTTTCGTCTCGCTGGAAGTTTTCTCCCCCACTCCGTTATTTTTTGTGTTTTTGTTCTTGTGCTCCTGCCTTGGCGAATCTTTTGGATGAGAGAGGATTTGGTATTAAGTTTTTTGACAAAACATTTTCATAGCCTTTTGTGTGTTTTTGAAGCAGCCTGCAGTTGATACCCATGTGACCGTTTCAGTAAGCCAAGGCTTTATCACATGGCTAAACATAAAAAGGCTCCTGTGTCATGCACCAAATAAAACACAAACACACACACAGACTAATGCAATATATCAAATCAAACATAACAACATACTCAAATGCCCAACAGCTTTTAAACCCATTAAGTTGATTTATTCATGTAATAAAAAGTGAAGGACTTTAATAATTACAGGGAAAGTTTCTCTTCAAAGAGGAAGGTGCACTTAAAAATTAAATACACCCAATACAGAAAAAAACTATTTCCTGTCATGTCACATGGAGCATGCAGAGGTCACAATGTCACGAAACTAAACCGAGGTTGTGTGTTACCACCTATTTCTCCAGCTCAGAAAATCTGGGCTTTTAAGGAACAAACAGAACACACAGTTAAAGCATGTCACTCAACAAAACAAAGAGAGAAATGGGAACTGAAGATGAGAACCAGTTCCCAGAATTGGCTTTGACCTATCATAAAATAAAGTACTGACAAAACTCAAAGCAGATTTGACGGGAACTGATCTTTCATCGTCCAGTCATTGGATTCCTTTTTGTGTTTTTCATCTCAGTGACATTTGGTTCATGAAACATTTCTAGACATTTCTACCTGAGGCTTATAAATACAGAAGGGGAGCCGCTGTGTTTGTTTTTAAAAACAGTTTTTTCTCTAAACAGCTGACAGGCATGCTTCTGTTGGCTGTAGAAAAATCAATATTTCACCTCCCGTTTTATTCTCTTGCTTTTTTCCTTTGACTTCTTGTGAATGTCTGTGATGTCAGTGCAAAAATGTCCCAGCGGTCTCATATTTTTACTTAATGATACAACAGCTAAGATACGATTTGAAATGTCTAAATCGGATTTTTCTTTCACTGATTAGGTATAGCTAGCTAGGTAGGGGTCTTCTTCTAGGGTCCTCACTGGATTAATATCTTTCCCCGTTTGTTTCTTTTTGTGTTTTAAAGTCTCGTAGCGTCGACAAGCAGCACGCAGTCATCAACTACGAGCCGGGGACTGACGAACACAAAGTGAAGGACCTGGGGAGTCTGAACGGGGTGAGTGACGACATGGTGACGTGCAAAGAACGGAAAAGTAATGAAAACAATCAAAGAAGAAAACGCAATAAAAAGCGAACGAGCTCCTACCTCGTCTGGAAAGATCTGGAGTTTGATTTAAGTGGAAAATTTAAAGTTATTTTATTTCACACTTTTACTTTATTCACATCTTTAAGTTTATTGGGTAGCTTAATTTGACTTCTTCACGGTTTCTTTCTCCTCTGACAGTAAAGTTAAGTAAAAGTTGGTCACAGCTGCCCTGTTAAACCCATTCACTGGCATTAGTCATAAGTTGTGATTAGAGCTCAGTCAGAGCCCACCAGATGAGGCACATCTGCGCCGTGTCCCTCACATCCTCTCCGGCTCTCAGACAGGAAGTCAGAGTCACTTCCTCCTGCGCTGTTAGCCATCCAGCTCCTTTGGCTTGATTCAGAGGAAGTTTTCCCTGCTGAGTCAGTGGGAGTGCTGTGGGTTTGCCACACATGCGTTAGCCAGTAAAAACGTTTGGACCAGTTGCTCTCTTTCTGAAACCTTTTCACTGCGAAATTCTTAAGCTGTAATTTTATCACACTAGAGAGAAGAAAGGAATGTTTTGGTACAAAAAAAAAAAAAAGTGGAAATATGTGAGAGTTTTATTTGCTGGTCAGTGGTATTTGATCTGCCTGCACAGCGTAACGAGGGTGAATGAGTTCTGGAGAAGGAGAGATTGGAGCTAAACCTTCCAACAAAAAGAGAAACATGGCTGATTGTGCAAAGATCTTTAGTCCTCGTGACTATAGTTCTTGCTGTTAACACAACAATCATTGATACATTACAATAAAACTTATGTTACTCTTTAAATTACTAGTAAATAAGTGACTCGTTTACACAAAACAAAAGAACATACTGCCTTATGCCGTAAAATATGAAGAGAATAGATTATTTTCTGTAGAATGTTTACAAATTTTGAAACTAAAAAAAAAAAAACTTATTTTGCATCCTCCTTTTAATATTTAATTAAAGAACTTAACTGACCGAATCATTCTCAAAGAAACACATAGTTTTTTAGATTTTTAGTTGAGTTCTTCTGTTTAGTTTCAGGTTTTTTGTCTGCTTTCTCTCCAGACCTTTGTAAACGATGTCCGCATTCAGGAGCAGATGTACATCACGCTCAAACTGGAGGACAAGCTGAGGTTTGGATATGATATCCTTTCATTATTTCACTTCCTACTCTGTGAGGCCTCACATATCCAGTGGACTCATTCTCATCCTCATTCTGATTATTGAGCTAAGCTCATTCTTCCAGTGATGCTACATCTATTGGTTATGTCTGACACACTGAATTGTTGGAGTGAAGCCATTAGCGTCTAAGCTAACAGAAATGAGCTCTAGAAATATATCACCATGATTAATATATCTGTGCTACGTATTAGTTTTACTTTTTGACTAAATTACTGAAATAAATGAAGTTTCGAATATTGTGATTTACCGTGATCCACGTTCAATTTTGCATTTGTGTTTCATTGCTACGTTAATGTGGTCAGTATTTCCTTAACCTTTTCTGTTTCACATACCAACCTGTTCACGGTGGTGAGAGGAGAGCTCACTGTGCCTGAGGAAGCTCTAAAGGTGAAAACACCTAACACGTCCCTTTCACATTTTTATGTCACGTTTATACATCACATTTATTAAAACGTAATCTCCTTCCAGCATGAAAAGTTCACCAGTGGCCTCCAGCTCAGCAAGAAGCCGTCCAACGGTGAAACCACGGCCAACACGACCAAGAGCCATTCTCCTTCTAAGGCCCCAACGAAAACGCCAAAGTCACCAAGCGGCGGCACTCCAAAGTCTGCGGAGAGCAGAGCAGCAGATGGGGTCACGTCCTCCAGAGAACAGCCGACCAAGCCGCTGGACTCTCAGAAAGCAGAGGAGAAGTTAGGTGAGCTGCAGAAGGACAAGGGAATTATCATGTGAATTATTTGTGTTTTCTCTAAATAGGATAGGTGACAGAAATGGTGACGGAGAATGAGATTCAGTTGAACTGTAACTCAAAAACAATGGCTTCACTTTGACTTTAATGTGCTACAAAGATTGTTTTTTGTACTTTCGGGGTGCCTGAGTTTTTTTTTTGTTTTTTTTTTTCTCACAGGACTTTTCTGTCTGGCAAAAGTTTGAGCCGTGCACAGAGATGTTTGTCTCATTCTGTGCCTTGAGGCAGTTGAGGCTATTGGTAACTAGCTGCTAATATGCCCTTGCTTGCTAACTAGTTAGCTGTTCTGCATCTATCATGGGTCATTGGAAATTATCCCGTTGCCTAGAAAACATTTATTTTCGCCTCTGGCTCACTTCTGTTGCCAACCATTATGAGGCTTGGTGCATTCTATACAAACAAAACTTTTAAGCTTGTCACGACTGGGATTTTTGCGATACTTGATTGTGATACAACAGGATTCCCCAACCATCCCCTACATTTACAGTTTTTTGGTCTTAAGTTATTTTATTCAAGGTAACTTGCTGAAACTTGGAGATACTCTGCAAACGTTTTCTGTTCAAAGACAGTTTCTTTTAGGACTAAATGTTGTGAAATTATTTTATTTTTTTTGTTTTAGCCTAGCATGCAGTTACATTGTTGAACCTTAATATTGTGTTTACTTTGCCTTAGCTTTTATTTGACCAGGCAGAACAGATTAAGGAAAATAAACTTGTTTATAACCGTGGCCCTCCAAAATTCAGAGCCCCGTAAAGGAAAAAGGAATAAGAGAAGTTATAATTTGAGGGTCTGTCACTGGTCGGGCATGGAGATAGAAGGGATTCAGGTTAAAAACCAATTGTTAAAACAAGGCCACATGGAGCTTATATGTTTATTTGAACAGATTAATCAGCAAGAGGGAATTTAACAAGCAAAACCATCTGTCATCTCAGCCTTTCTGAAGGAAATATAAGAAGTACAATATTTCTAAACATGCAGTATTACACCCATCTGCTAGTGTTACTCTGTCTGCGACTGAAATGTGTAATTTTACTGTTACTGGAAGCCAAACATACATTACTCCTCATGATACACATTCTGTAGCTTTCACACAAAATGATATGTGATTTGGCAACCTGCCTCTGTAATTATGTTTACAACTGCGACTGAAGTCACACCAGCTGAAGATAACGGGGGGCCTTTAAAGGACCCGAGGCTAAAGGAAGAAAGCAAGAAGCAGTGGAGCAAGCCGTGATGTCGTGAAATCCACAGTAGGATCTTTACAGAAACTCTGTGATTTTCTCTGCATTGTGCTTTGAAAAGAGGTTTGCACAAGATGTTTGATCCCTGTCAGCTTCCATCCTGAAAAAAAGTGTTATTAATGCAATAACAGCAATACATTTACACTACCTATGCATGACAAAGAAAGAGAGAGGAATAGTGTTTTATAACAATACAAAAATGAAGAAATAAACTTACGCACAAACATTAGTTGGGCTCATTTTTATTCCACAATGGTTTAGAGAAAATGTTTAAAAAAATCATCTGTGCAGTTTTGTTTAAATGTGTGCATGTTCGTCTCAGGGGACAGTACAGCTCTGCCTCGTGGGACCCCCCTGTACGGTCAGCCCTCATGGTGGGGGGATGGAGACGCAGACGATGAAAACTCCTTCAAACAGGAAACCAAGTCCAAAAAACACGACGGCGCCATTTCAGGTGGGACTTTTATCATTTTCAGATGCTCTCGTGTCCACAAGCAGGATTTTAAATATGGCTGCCAAGATATCAAGATTCAAGTCACTTGGGAAGACTCACAGACTCAACACTTTAACATCACATTAAATCAGGTAATAAATCAATGACCTCAGTGGCCAATATAGTCGCTCGTTTCCTGTTAACGTCACTCTAAAGGGTGAAAAGAAAACACTTAAGGTATTGCAACTAGTTCTTATGGAAACAGACGAGGATTTTTAAAAAGATTACTTGTGAGACCTCTGTCTGTATATGGTTTTGAATATCATGGAAAAGTGTGAAATTTGGTCTTGTAAATTTGGTCTGAAAAAGTATGAGAAAAGAAAAATAGAAAAAAAAATATTTGGAGATTTCCTTTTTTCCTTAATCTGATATGTGAAAGATACAAGATTTGAGTTTCTCAACAACTTGTTCCTTTTATTGATTTTTATATGCGTTTACATTCTTTATCTTTAAATTTCAACCTCTCTAGGTTGATTGGAGCTGTTATTTGACAGTATGTTCACTGTTGGTGAGAATCAACTCGCAGCCTAGTCGGCTTTTAGTCGGGATTGTAACTGATGGCTGGGATGTTATCACATTTTTTTCTCCGTTTTTTTTATTTATTTTTTTTACCAGATAATCTCTCAGATTATTTCAAAAGGGAAATAATCTGGTGAATAATCGGCCAGATGAATCACTGTCGGTAGATTTGCACCAACAGAATATTATTTTATAGACAGCAGATACAACATGCACTGTGACGTACTATATGCTTTCCTTTGGTTGTAAAACAATTGCTTCACCAATGTGAGGTCAGCTTGTTTTGCTTTTGATGTTCAGGCAGCGATGGGCAGCAAGGGTTTGCTTTTATTAATAATCATTTACATCCAAGTGAGTACAAAGCCTCTTTTCAGAGTCTGCATGGATGTCTGTCTACTTAACAATATGAGTGTGTGAGAGAGGGGGGTCCCCTTAACAGGATTAGTGGCCACACCAGCTCAGAGAATCAAAATCAGTCTGTGCCAGGCTGGGTTAGCGGACCAGTGTGGAATCATAACACAAACACGAGAGCAGACTGGAGCGTCCTCTAGTCTCTCTGCACATCTGCACTGCTAGTCTGGCATCATCTTGGCTGCCCTGTGAAGGAGGACTTTGTTCTCCAGCTCCTAGGAGTCTGTTTGCCCTGATTTGTTGGTTTTCGCAAATGGTGTTTGTGCTCGGACACAAAAACTATTTGAAACCTTGAAACTTTTCCAAATATCCAGCGTTATGGGTCTGGCTACGTCAGCCTCGGGAGTGGGTGAGTGGAAATAATTTTCCCTTCTAGCAGCATTAAATGTTAGACGAATAACTGTGGTGTAGATGATGAAATGCTGGAGCACCTCTGTGAAGCAGCGTGTGTCCGGAAAGCTCTGGTGTATTTGGCTTGAGCCTCTGCATTAAAAAGACATTTTATCTGATATGGGTGTTTCAAAAATAACATTATTTCCACAGAACATGTGAGATATAGGAGTGAAGGGGAAGTGGGAGGTTAAGGACAGGAAATGATTCTGTTTCAGTGTGGGTTTTGTTGCTAGCAATGTGTACGTCAGTTTTATTTTAGTGCGTTTTTCTCTTTCAGAGTTAAAAAAAAAAAAAAAAAAAGGCTCTGTTGTCACCACTCCCTAACTCCCCCTCCGTGTGTATTGTCACTAAACCCGGTTGGGTTACACTATCGCAACGACTCTATTTCTTTCTCCTAACTCACACACACAAACCCATTCTTAACAGACTGCTCTTTTCCCTGCAGAAATCATTAGCTAACCCTCTGGTAAGCGTTGCTCTCAAATCCATATAGCTGCTAAAATACTTTCAGTTTGTTACAACCTCCTCTGGTGCGAGGACACAACTTTTGACTTTGCTGTCGCCTTCCTGCTGCTTTTTGCTGTTGGGAGAATTCTTAAGGTATTTAATTTAATTTGCTGTATCTGTTCCGTATTTTGTGAAATAGAAAAATTGAGTCACTGTTGGTTAATGTACTGTACTTTACCCCGACAGCATATTTATTAATCTAGCGAGTGTTCATGTAGTTTAGACGATCAGCTTTTCTTACTTTTAGTATGTGGTTAAAGACGATACAGAAACACTGCATCAAATTCATTTACATCAGGTAATAAGATTATTTCTGTTACATATCCAACTAATTTTATATCTGATTGGTCTTTTTGGGCCAGCAAGCCTCGGTAAAAAGCTGATCCATCTTCTTAGAAAACACTGTTTCCTTATAGAAGATTCCTAACTTCAGCTTTAAACACCTTACTGATACTGAAAACCTGTTTGAATGTCTGACTTTGAGTTTCTTTCATCCCACTGTAGCAGTAATTTATTAGCGCTTACACATGACAACGATCAGATGTTTGTGTTTCTGACCCGCTGACCACTGCTTGGGGCCACTCAAATGGTCTTGGGCCAATTCTGGTCGCTAACCTGTTTCTCGATGCAATTCTAATCTTTATAGCCAATTTATAAATTTTGTAATTTCAGGTTCACAAAAAAAGTAGCATAATTTAGATAATTAATCATTTTAATTGTTTAATAAACGGACACAAGAAGCGACCAGACACAGTCCTAAAAAAGGTGCTTGAGTCCCTCTTGTTTCGGTGTCAGTCATGTTGTGCATCTGTCCAGTATTGCCTAACGGTTTATGCTGACTGCCAGTAATTATGCAATTATGAGAAATGTTCTTTCTTTTTTAGCTAAGCTGATCTGAACTAACGAAAGTGGAAGACACATTTCCTAATTTAATTCATAATTTAATTTAAGCATGTATAATTTACTATGAATTGCACAGATAAATGATTTACAAATGATTCAATTTTGCACAAAGTTTCTGTGTTTTTTTTTGTCTGTATTCGCCAGCTGCCATATGTTCCTGCGTTTTCCTCCAAAAACGAAGCAGATGGCTCCTTTAATTCCTGAAAGTGTCGTTAATCATAATCAGTCCCATCAGAGGCTCTGTTGGTTAATAGCGACTGAAGAGAATATAAATGCTGCACTTTTTAAAGAGCCTCGCCATCACTTTATGCTTTGAGTGACAGCGAGTGAAAATGAGACAGATGTCCATCCTCCTCCTCTATTCTTCTTTTCCATCCAGAAACAAGCCTGGATTTAATTAGTCCATTTGCAGTTTGGCTTGACCTTTCCCTTTTATTACCTTCATTTTATACTACTTTTTGTAATAAAACATAGTAGCCATCTTTGACGCTGCAGTATTTCTGTTATTTAAAAAAAAAAAAAAACAATACAACAGTCACGCTGCAGTAAGAATGCATTTATTTGTTTTCTAACCACAGAGAGCAAGGAGGCGCGTCGGGGAGAGAAAGCTAAAGAGGACGGCCTTCATGCGTCCCCTGCTCTCGATTCCAGTTACTTTGAGGTCCCCACAAAGGAAGGTCACATGGCAAATAACGGCATCCATGAAATTCCCACCAAGGACACAGAGGATGCTCCCAGTCAAAGCCACACCACCGCAGGTGAAAAGAGATCTAGAGGATTGGGTTTAATCATATTTATTCTCATTTAATTGAACAGTTCTAATGTTTTTGCTCCATAAAAATGTGCAATATTAATAAAGGTTAGTTTGTAACACATTTTATTTTATTGCAGTATTTCCCTGTAACCAAGATGGCATTAGGGAAAGCGTCTTTATGCCACAACTATTCTGCACATCGACATTTTAAAAGCGCTTGAGTTAGCAGCCTTTACTTTTACTGTCGACGGGACACAAAAGCTGAAAGTGCACCGTCTGCTCCACAGCTCAAGGGCACGCCTCCTTCACCATAGAGTTTGACAACACCTCTCCAGGGAAAGTCACCATTAAAGACCACGTGTCAAAGTTCGCGTCGGACCACCACAGGTCCCGCACCAAGAAGAGCACGGCGGGAAGCGGCAGCTCGGGAAGCAAGGACCTCACCACGCTGCAGGCCGCCATGATGGCGTCTGAGAGCAAGGTGGCGGATTGGCTGGCTCACAACGACCCCACGTTAGTGCACACCGAGTCCACCGAGGACGACAGCAAGAGCACCAAGAGCATTAAGAGCGACGTCCCGGTCCACCTAAAGAGGCTCAAAGGTACGGGTCTGACTCTTTTTACACGTCTCTGCATCCTGTTTGCACCAAGAAAATGACTCTAACGTTGCTGCTTTGTTATCTAATAGGTTTCTGTCAGTGATTTGCCTGAAAAGTTACACCATCACCTAAAATAAACATTAATTTTAATGTTAATTGTTTCTGTTTGTCTCTGCAAATCAATAAGTAACAGCCTCATCCCAACATCTGAAATTTGTCTTTTTGCCATTTTTTAAAACTTTTACCCAAAAGTGTTTATTGGGCCTTGCAGTGGGATTGTACCAAGTGTCTTTCTACATAGTCAGTGGTATTTGAAGTGTCATTGGTATTTATGTTTTAGGTAAGATTGGACAATTTTGTTCAAACTGTTTAGATGAGTTAGTTTTGTAAACTGTGTGCAGGAGCCATTATTTGGATTAGTTCTACCTTGGACTTTGTTTGACCAAATGCTGCTAGTGTGAAGTTTTGAGTCACAGTCCTGCTGCTGGCCCAAGTCTGCCGATTGAACAACAGTCCGCAATAAACTGATGAGATTGTGCCCAGTTTTTAGAGGAAAACCTCTCTGTTTATTACAGGACGAAGTACAGAGTAGCCATTTATCAACATAATGAACTCCATTTCACTGCACTATAAGAATTTTTAATCGTTTGGCTTCATACTAGTTCCACATTTTCCAAAGCCCTGCCATTGTGCACTGGTTAAGTTTTCCCCAATTTTCAAGTATTTGTTTTATTACCACTTTATTATGCAGGACTCTCTTTGTTTATCATCTTTTATCCAGATTTTAAGCAAACTCATCTGTCAGATCTCCATTATTAAACACCTCTAAACCTCCTTCAGATAATAGATGTTTCAAGAACGTCCGCTTCAACAAGCTGGTAGTGGTAATATAGTTTATTATCTAATGTGATTTAGGGCATTTTAAGACTTTTTATTTGACTTTCTTTAATATTACTTTCCTAAATTAAAGCTGCTCCACACTGGTGTTGCTGTTTCATTAAACCTAAATCACTGAATAAAATGTGGAAGCGACACATAAATACATACGGACTCAAAGAAACGGTGCCTGGTTTGAGTAGAGGACGCAGGGGACTGGAAACTCTCCAGCTGAAGGTTCAACTGGAAGGTTTGCTTGTGGTGCAGAGCGTGTGATTTATTTCCTTCATCTCCCTGAATCACAGAATCTCCATAATATCTAGCCAACTTTGCTTTTTCTTCCATCAATGTTCCCAATGCTTATTATAGTATACAATGGTTATTATAGTGTACTGCAGAACTGTGTTTCGCTGGCAGCTTAGTTGTTTCATTGCTAGATCCAGGTTTATCAATAAAACAACGATGTTAAGTGGAAATAAGATTTCCATTTTGCCTATATGAGTTTTAATTAAAATAATTCTGTGGTTATTTTTTGGATATTCTGATATACATTATTATCATCTTATTGTCAAAACGAACTGATTTTATCTCCTCAGTCTCCATTTGTCTAAGGATATTTATGTTGCTTTCTTTTTTGCTCAGATGGTAAAAACGTTCCAAATAGCAAAGTCAGAGCTTTACCCATTATGACTGCATGTTTATAGGATGTATTGAAAGTCATCATATTTCTTACAGTTTGTAGCTAATTTAAACCAGAGCCACATTTACTGGTGTAAAACATGTAATTCTGAAGTTTTTACCTTTGTGTTTCTACCCATAAAACTAAGAATTATGTTCAAGTTATCCAAAGTTCAAGTCCTTCCTTGGAGTGTTATTGAAGGTTGGGTTGTCTCTGGCCTCCTTTTAGCCTATTAGATGCACTAGATTAGGGGTGGGGCCTGTGTGAGCTGATGGAAACGGAAATCTGCGAGGCGGTGGGGAACAATGGTGAAGCCAATTTATTAGATGGAGTTAGGACCACTAACGGGCGTGTCAGTGGGCTGACAGATCGGCTCACCTGATGGATGCCGTTGTTTTTAGCTGATTAACTGACCGGCGTTTTCACTCCTAGACATGGATGAGTTATGGGAAGCTGAGGATAAGATTCAAGTGGGGCAGAGAAGGGGTTGAAAAGAAAGACAGGAGTGAGGGAGACAACGGAGAGAGATTGATGAAGGAAGGTTTTCTCCAGGTGACTGGAGGAGATGGGAGGAAAGGAAGCTGACAAAAGCAATGGAAGCAGGATTAGCTGCAAAGGTGAGTGTTCAGAAGGAGAGAAAGAAAGAAAGGGTTGTCTGGGTTGCAGTAGAAGCAGAAAAGGAGGCAACGAGGCAGAGAGAGAGAGAGAGAGAGAGATGCCTTTGGTTGAAAGTTGTTATAGTAACAGTGATGCGAACTGCAGGCGCTGTGAGCATCTGTCTGAGTGTGAAGCGGCTTCAGTATTTTGTGTGAGGAACGCTTTCCACCGTCTTCCAAAGGTGTGTGAGTCATGTGGCGCTAGGCTCCGCGTGCATGTTTGATACATGCTGAGCGGCGATCTGCGGAGAAGCGGTGCAGCGTGCGTTAGCGAGATCTGCTCAGGGTGTGTCGTAGCGGTGCCTGGTAGAAAGAGCGGCAGAGTTTCACCAAGGGAACCGAAAGGAGGCGTCTGAGCTGTAGCTTTTAATTTCTTACCCGATAGGTAAGTAAAAAATGTTTTTATCTTGGGGATAAATAGATCTTTATTCTTCTGTGTTCATTATTGCACCATATTTAAATTAATTTAAATGCTTTTTTTTCATGAGGTTAAAAATGTGGTTTCTAATTAGCAGAGTGTTTTTTTGGTCTTAATTTAGGAGCACTTGAGGTAAAAATAATATTTTGTCTTCATAGCCAAAGCAAAAGCTTATAATCCTGCTGCAGGTGGTGCTTTAAATGCTTGGGCCCACTACAATACATTGTATGTTTAGGGTTGCATGCTTGCTTCTCTGTCTGTGTTTGTAAAGGAAGTTCTTCCTTATTTAGCATGTTCGGTGTGTGTACGTGTGTGTGTGTGTGTGTGTGTGTGTGTGTGTGTGTGTGTGTGTGGGCAGAGGCAGTGGCCAGCTCCACTGTGAGTCATGGTGGGGCGGATGGGACGATGCACTGGACTTTCACAGACTCCTCTGTTCTCCTGCGGCTCTGCTAAGGGCTTCTTTGTCCACAGCACGCTGAATGAAAGACCTTCCTCTCTGTGTTTGCTGATCTGCCTACTGTAACACTCTGTGGTTTTCCTTTCTCATTTTTTTCTGTACCTTCATCTTCTTTTTTTAATTATTAAGCCTCTATTAAATCATGAAAAGTGACCGAATGAAATGCAGTGGAAGAGCAAAAAGCTCGATGGACAACAAATCTGATGAAGACGGATGTCTTTTAGTTGACTAAAAGTGGACATTGTAGCATTAGCTTTATTAGTGCAGACTTTAGAACTTTTGCAGCATAAAATAAGGGGTCCAAATTTTAATGTAGCAGTTTGTTTGAAAAAATCCAATCCAAGGCTGGTGGCATCAACTAACTCACTCACTTTTTGGTTACCTACATCCTGCTGAGTGATTTGCACAGCAGCAGTTTTCAGGTTTCACTACTGTGCCTCATAACTGCTTAAAATTAAAAAAACAACGTTGTGGAGTAAAAGGAGAAAATGAGTATAACCACTTCAGATGAAATTGAGGATAAAACAGGAAGAGTCGTGTCACCAATATGGCAGTATTTCTGATATTAAAACAAAAAAACTATTTATGATTATTGATATCGACTGATATGAAACCGTTGTACATTTTTCAGCCATGTCATCCAGCCATTCATCTGCTCAAACATATTAGCAATATGCAGAACTTATCGCTAATATAAAAATCTAAAATCCTAGATAATATTTGATCCAATCAGCCTTTTGCATTTGAGATATTGCACTCTGACATGACGACTGCAGTTTGATAAACAGCACAGCTCTGCTAAAAAATAAGTGTGACCGATGAACACATTTGCAATTGCACTCAGTGTGTGAAAGAGTAAAACTTTCTCAATGACTCAATAAAAAAAACCTCAGATATAAACTCTGTATGATTGAGGAGTTTCATTGTAAGATTGGATGGATATACCCTGAATACACTGAACATATAAAACTGTGATAATCTATAAATCTAAGTAGCTACATGCTTAGCCTCCTGTTTGTTGTGTTTTTCCCACTTAATTCAGTCACTCTTCCCCATCCGCTCCCATTTCCTTCCAACACATCCCCCAACTGCCCAGCTCCTCCTCTACTATCCCTCTTCCCCTTTCGCCTCCCCTCCTCCTTCATCCATAACCCTCCACCCAGACTCCTACATGAGTCCCTTCTCCCCTCCCCCCGCTTTTAACTGACTGCCACTGAATTGGACAGGGCCGGTAGGCGAGTTGTGTGGGTGGCATGTCTGGGTTAGTGTGGCACACCGTCTTGAACCGCACAACGCAGAAAGGACTCGCTGAATCAACTGGGACAGAGCAACATGTGCGTTTGCAGTGATGTGGTAGGTAAATCAGGCGGTGTGCTGTTAGGATCCATCTTGACGGTTCAGTGATTCGCCTCAGGCCACAGAGAGAGTTTATTGTTGTCGTTGGCTGTGACGGTTTGCAAACATGTGTTTCTTGTTGTTCAGGTGCAGGCTTCGTTTTCTTTCTTTTTTTCCATGATACCTACAATGAAGTCGGGTTGTGTTATATTTCAAAGAGTATGTTGTTTCTGTTGCTATAACACTGTGTTGTTGATATGCCACTGTTTAGGTTTGAAAATCACCTCCTGTGCTTTTAAACTCCGGGGAGCTCAGATCTGATTATTTGTTGTTGTTCAAAGACGATCGCGGAATCAACTGTCTCGCCTTGTTTGTGTCTCAGTAGGGAGCAAACATGAAGACGGCACCCAAAGTGACTCTGAGAATGGACTCGGCCTGCGTTTCGCCAACCGTAGACACGCCCTCGAGGAGCGCCTGAAGACAGCGCACAACCACGCGGGAGGGGGATCCGCAGGGGCGACTGCAACCGTCAGCGGGACCAGAGCCACCAGCAGCCGAACGGCTTTCATGATCGAGTTCTACGACGAGGAAAACCCTCGCAAGCGTCGCTCTTACTCGTTTTCCCAGACTGCTCCGCTGCTGGGGGGCGGAGTGGGCGGAGAAGGACTGTGTCCACAGCCTCCCTCGCACCCGAAGGTGTTCAGTATTTCAACGTCTGCGGCCTCAGCTGCAGATTCAGGTACGATTCTGGTGTCGTTACATGCTTCCCACTGCACAGATACAATTACACTACAATGCCCTGCAAAAGTTCTCATACTTCAGACTTTAATGTATTAAATTGCTTTTTTTATGTGAGCGACCAACACAAAATATGTTGTCTTCTTTGGTCTTCATGATGGTATTTGTTCACTAACGTTCTCTAACAAACCTGTGAGGACTTCACAGAGCTAAAGATTTACAATGAGGTTATTAGTTGGAGATGCTCTATTTCAGGATATAACAGTAAATGGGGGTGTATGCAAATGCATGCCACACTTTTCAGATTTTTAATCATAAAAAAAGTTGAAAAAGAGTGAATCGCTTCACTTCTTTTCATAATTTACACTACTTTGTGTTGTTTTGCCACAAAAAAATAAGCTTACCTTAAAGATAAGTTCTGCTTAACCGATTTTTTTGTTTTATTACCTCCAGGTAAAGCTCCAGCTCCCATACCAGCCACAGTAACTGTGGGCGCTCCAACGGCTGCCCGTGTGCTGCTCAAGCAGAGGTCAGAGGACCAAAGCATCGGTCGGAGCTCGGCTAGTACTGGGCTGGCAACTGGGAGCCCCACAACGCCCAGCGAGGACACTTCGGTCCTCGGCAAAGGAGCTGGAACTGCTGGGGGAGACGTGGACGACAACCACAGTGACAAGGGGACTTACACTATCGAGCTGGAGAATAAAAATCCAGAAGAAGAAGAGGCCAGGCGCATGATAGACAAGGTGGGAGCAGTCTGACATGTTGGCAGCAGTTTACTTTTTCACAGTATTTGTATAAATCACTCCGTATAATCATTGTAATTATACAGCATCTTTTGGGGATCCAGTTAAACTATATTCCTTTGTATTAGAGGCTTTACAGTTTAGGAATCGGAGTTGAAATGATCAGGAACAGATTAAAATGCTCCAAAGATGGTATTAACTGTTTAAAGATCAGTTTGCTGATGTTGAATACACTTTTTGAATTGCGTCCTGTAATTAAAGGCCTGAGCAGCTTTTACCACTCCAGGGTATTTTTTTTTTTTGTTTGCCAACCTCTATAAAAGCATAACTTTTTGTTTAGAGGTGTTTTTAGTTTGGGGTCTTTGCAAAAGTGTGACAGTAAAGGAGGTACTAAAATGAAAAGTAGCATCTTTAAACGTTGCTCTGCAGCAACTATAAAAAGCAGAACTAAAGCAAGTCCAAACAGGCTGCAGCAGCGTTAATAGTCGCTTTCTTTTACTTGCTTGGTCTGCAGTCTTTTGCGTAGTGAGTCCCTTGAGACAAACTGGAGTTGCCACTAAAACAGCACCGTCATCTCTCTGTGGCCTTGCTTGACCACCTCTCATCCTCTCTGGCACATCAGCTCACCTAATGCGTCTGGAATAAGCAGGAGGGATTTGCTCAATGAGGCACTGTCCTGTTTTATTAAGCAACATTTAATTTCCTACTGTTGCCACATTCTCAAATGCAACAAAGAACAGTAAAAACCAGAGAAGTCGATATCTGGTCTTTAGTTTTCGTGACACTCTGAGCTGCAGAGAGAGGCTTTAAGGAATTCCAAATATAACACAAGTAAACATGAAAACAGCTTTCAGAATATTTATTTTTCTACCCTTCCTTCTTTAAGTGTTCATTTATTTATACCAAAACCAGAGAAGACATCAGAGCTTTACTGGTTAATAACTAGGGATGCACTGATATGAAAATCTGAGCCGATATTGATATCTGATACATATATTGCTGTCATAACCAATAATCGATATTGCTCCCTCCTGACACCACTACTGCTTCTTTGCTGCAGTTACCTCCCCATAATCCTGTGCTGCACCACCATCACTGTCACATGACCAAACAGGTGCTGCATGACAACATGAATTGTTTTTACCGTTTAAATTTGAATTTTAAGCAGTTAGCGGTCAGCATAGCTAGCTTTAATCACCTATCCTTATCCTCCAATTGTAGCCTTCTTCCATTAAGAACAACATATATGTGCCAAAGATGTTTCTGTTCAAACCTGCTGGAACTAAATTTCTCTGTGCATCGCTAACAGAAGGACTATTTTCTGAACCATTTAAACCAAAGTAAATAATATCACATTTCCTTTTAAGCGGTTAATGCAAGAATTATCTTTGGACAAGCAGTCAAATAATTACTACACGATATTCTGAGTCAGTTCAAGTCTGCATGCGTTGCATTCTAAACAGGAAGTGTTGTCATGCTAATTCCTGTAATTAGCTGACACGGTAATTGGCACAGCGCTCACAGCTGTCCACTCTCCCTCTCTTATTTATAACCTGCTGATGTTGTTTCTGTTTGTTTCATTTAAATATTCAGTGAACGGGAGCTGAGCATTTTGAATAAACAACTCAGGTTGTTTGTTGGATTCACTGTATCAGAAAGAGGATGTAGTCAGAGTATTTACATGACTGTATTATGTGTACATTACACATTTGTAAGTCATACAAAGTTATATAAAAGGCTTGCATAAATTATGATATTCTGCCAGTTTTTGTTGATTCATAGGTTTTTTTTTTGTTGGTTTTTTTAAATATCTGTAGGTGTTCGGGGTGCAGGAGAATACAAGCAGCTTGGTTTTGTCTGACCTAAAAGGAAAAGTAAAGGACTCAGGACACGCCGGGAAAGAGGTACAAATCTGCTTTGGACTGAAGAAATCTTAATAAAGGAAATTCATTTTGGTATTTCTCTGGCCCCCTCAAAATGTTGAAACAGAAAAAAAAAAAAAAAAAAAAAAGATGGAGTTTTTATTGTGCAAGTTTGTCTCTCCTTTGAGATGACTACTTTGCTCTACTGGACTGTCAGATGGGAGGAGGGTTCATCCTCCCTGAGTGACCTAGATCACACTGGGATGAGGAAAGACGTTCAGCCCTCCAGGCCGTTTCATAAGACGGAGGGGGCAGTGCCTATCTGCACTGTTAAATGTCTGTCTGATCCATCTTTTACGGCATTTAGATTCCTTTCTTTTCAAGTGATACACAAAGTCTTTATCAGTATTACTGGAAACTTGATTTGACATTTTATTTGGATTTTTTTTTTTTACTGTATAGCCAATAAAGTCCCAGTTATAGGTTTATATCCATCCCCTGTGGACATCAGGGTCATCTCAGTCAGTTTTGCACAAGTTTGAATATATTACAGATTTTCTCTATTTCTGTTGTGCACATTTGATCTAATCCCTGCAGGTCCCAAATTATAAATTAAGGGACAACTAAACATACACTGTTAACTAATATTTGGTTAGCCAGTTGCAAAGAAACCAATACCATTTTTGTAGCATCGTAATTCTAGTTTTGACCGCTTAGGCATAGTTAATTTTAATTGGCTGGTTTCCTTTAAAAAAAAAACTGACTTTCAATCTTACAATCATGTTCAATAAATATGAATAACGTAAAAAAAAAACAACTGACTTTCAATCTTACAATCATGTTCAATAAATATAAATAACGTAAGCCTGTTAACACTGGTTTTAACTTGTGTTTGGGATCAAATGTGAGCCGTCTGCCCCAAACTGTTAATATAAGATGAACAAAAATAATGTTCAAATGCCGACATGGAGAAACCAAACTTATCAACTTAAAAGTCTTTCGGAACAAATCAGTCAATTTAAATGAGCTTTGCTATTTATGATAAACGACTAAAACCTTTGCACTTAATTTTTGTTTGAAAATGTGTTAAAGTTGTATATTAATCAGTCCATCCTAGGAAAAGAACTGCTTATTTAGGTTATGCAATGGATCATTAAAAGCTCATAATTATGTCCATGATGGGTGTTTGTTAGCTTCTACCCACCATTCTAAGAGAAAAAACAGGAAACCAAAATTACAGTACATGGCTTGTTTTAGACCTCCATCGTTTGAGTGAAGAACCCTTTTTTTTTGTTTAACCCTGTTCGTTGTGTTGCCTCAGGCTCTTGTTGGTGACTCAAGCTGGGTCTCTCAGTGGGCCAGTTTAGCTGCTAATCAAGCAAGGACCGACCCAGAAGGTTCTGGAGCAGAAGCAGCAACATTCCTGCACAAAGAGAGAGGTAGACTCACCCAAATCAACAAAACTGCTTCGATTTAATCAGTATTTAATCCTTTGATTAATTTGTTTTTTGTCCTTTTTGCTCAGGATCTGATGCCTTTGAGTCTGCTGCTCCTCCCCTTGGCAAAGGTGAACCCTCTTCCAGCCTGACCGACCGTAAACGCAGGACCCTCCCCCAGCTCCCAGTGGACGACCCCCGGGCTAAACCCACTCCCAAAGCACTGAGGTCTGAGATAGGGGAGAAACAGGACACTGAGCCCCAGGAAAAAGAGAACAAGGGAGACGGAGAGTCCCCAACCCCCATGGAGGACGGCGAAATGACCAACAAGAGGAAACAAAGCTCGGCCACCTCCTCTCCATCTAAGGGTCCGGTTCGGGGCACTGAAAGAAGGAAGAGGTCAGAGGAGAGCAACGGAGGAGAAGCAGGAGAAGGAGGGGAGAAATCCGGGAAGGCCCTTGTTCGCCAGGGTAGCTTTACCATTGAGAAGCCCAGTTCAAACGTCCCCCCAGAGCTTATCCCTCGCATCAACAGAGGCAACAATGAGCGGGAGCGCAGTGACTCCGTGGGCAGCATGGACACCGCTACGCTGCTTAAAGACACGGAGGCCGTCATGGCATTCCTAGAGGCTAAGCTCAGGGACGAGAACAAACTAGACCAGAAAAGTATTAAAACTCCTCCAAGTGCCAGCATTGGCCTCGCCACTCGGACTGACTCCATATCCCCAGAATCAGACGTGGACACAGCCAGCACGGCTAGCCATGCTGCAGCGGAAGCAGGGGGAAAGACCGCCGTAGGCGGTGTGCAAAAGCGGAAGTCTCTCAGCAGCATGCACCGGGAAAAGAGCAATATGAGCACGACATCCAAGACGACCTCCGGAAACGGCAGCGCTCGCGAACGCCTGGAGAGGAAGGCTAAAGGTAGAACTGTCGAAGCGACGGGTCGGACTCGCTCCGCTCAACCCGGCACTTCCTCCAGAGCACGCCAGCCTTCCCTGGATCTCACCGACGACGACCAGACCTCCTCCTTCCCCATCTCTGACATTCTGTCTTCAGACCAGGAAACCTACTCTGGGCCTTTGGGGAACTCGGTTCATAGACGAGGCTCAGAAGACTTCCTCCATTCCAAACTCGACAGCAGATCTTCCAAGACGTCCATGAGCGGTGCCTCCAAAACCAGCCGAAATCTGCAGGCAGCAACGGCCTCCTCACTCAACAAGCAGGCCTCTCTGCCTCAACCACGACCCACCAGAGCCTCCCTTCTCCGCCGGGCCCGACTGGGGGACACGTCTGACACGGATCTAGCCGATGCAGACCGGGTTTCCGTGGCGTCCGAGGTGTCCACGACGAGCTCCACCTCTAAGCCGCCGTCCGGACGGAAGGGATTGTCGCGGCTGGACATGCTGGCTCAGCCACGGAGGAATCGCGTGGGCTCCGTCTCGGCACGCAGCGACTCGGAGTGCACGGTGAGCCGGCCCTCCACAGCTTCGCCACGCCTGTCCGCAGAGACCGCGCTGCGCCTCGGCTTGCGCTCGACGACGCCCACAGAGAATCGGCTGTCGCCAAGGATGAGAGCCAACAGTGTGTCGAAACTCAACGAGCCCAAGACCAAAACCACGACGTCTGGATACTGCTCGCCCACAGGTGAGCAAAGAAAAACAAACTACAAAAAACAACTCAGTGTCTGACATCTGAGGATTTTCAGTAAAAGAAGAGAAAATTAAATCAGTTTATTGATTAAAAATAAGCTGTTTCATGGTTGATTTTGAGACACAACATGAGATGCTCGTGGCTGATTTCTGGTCTTTGGTTTGTAAAACGTTGACTGGCAGAAATCGATTTTCTTTCTTCAGTGACCCTATATATGTGTATGTATGTATATATATATATATATATATATATATATATATATATATATATATACACACACACATAGAATCTAATTTGTGGTTTTCATCACTATCATAGCAAAATCAGCTCTTTTGCATGTATTAGCTGGACAATGCTCAAATTAACTGAAATATCAAAAAGGCTGCTAATGTTTCCGACTCCATCATGCTTCATAGACAGAGATTGAAAGCTCAAAAGTATCAAACAGAGCAACTTTAGTTTAGCGTATTCAGCCTTCATATTATCCGCTGAAAGTCTTGCTCTCTCATGTTCTGAATAAACCACAGATTCAAGGCGAGGTGTTAAAAATAGCTCCCATTTTAAAAGTCTTTATGGGCCTATGCTTCTGTTGACTTAATTTTCAACATCTGAAAGTTGCTAACTGAGTCTTCTTCACTCAGTCACTTAGCCGACAATGAAGCATGTTGACAGCGCGCCCCGTTTCCTCAAGTCGTGTGTTCACCACCACATTTCACTATGAAATAATTCACACTTTTGAGTTTCTGACCAGGCGATGTCCGTTGAGGGCTACAAACCAACAGGTTCTGGTCACCAGCTGACACGTCGGTGCATTTCCTATGTAAATATTTCTCAGTAAACACCTGTGTTGTCATGACCATGTGCATTGGTTTTCATCGTCCAGAAAGCTCTCAGCCTGAACCTCCAGAGGGTGATGCAGAGGAAGAGCTGATTGGTACGGCACCAGAACCATGAAGTCTAATTGGACTGCTGTGTGTAGTGCATGTGTGTATTTTAACACCTCCAGACCTGGGTCAAAACAATGCTCAGATGTGAAGGATGATCCTTCAAGGATTTCAAACAGTTCTCGTTTAATACATACGTTTGAATATTGTTTGGAATAAAAGTAATGTTGGTTCATTGCTTTAAGAAAGTCTCTTTTATGATGACCCAGCTCTACCAAGCCTTCGATAGCTAACGTCGTATCCTCCTTAAATCCATTTAGTAATGCTGTGTTGATAAGCCAGCTGCTTTGCTCACACTGTAACACTTTTCCCCATGTTATCCTGAAGAGTTGGACTGAGCTCTTATAATCTCATTGCCTCAGAGCTGGACTAACAGAGCTGCTGTTTGAACATTTCAAAACAACTTAACATGAAGCTTTATGGCTTCTTCGTTTTGTTGGACGCCTTGAAATGCTTGAAAATATTTTTTGCTGCTTTTTTTTGTGTGTGTGATTTTTACCATTGCTAAATACGCTGTCAAACACCCAATGCACTTCATGAACTACGGTCAATTAATTTCCTCAAGAGTGACATAAATTGCCAGTCAGAAGTTTACATACACTCCTGATAGTGTTGAATTTAATGGTTTATTTTAACTATTATTTTTCCAGGGTGGAATGATTACACAAACAACTTTTAATACTTTTAAAAACAATGACTTGGTGCACAACTTGGTTCCACAACTTTTTGTAGCTACATCAGCAAAGTTTTGCCTCAACATTTGACTATTTGTCATGTTGTGAGGTTGGCATGACGACCCAAATACAGAAATTGATGGGGGTGAAAATTAGCAGACTTTAATAAGCAAAGAAAAAAAAAACAAGGAGAACTTGGAGGTAAAACATGTGAGGACATGTGATGGAAACTGGAGGAGTGAAACAGAAAATCCAGAGAGGAACAATGAAAAAAACAAGGAGCTAATCTACAGAGGCATGGGTTGGAAAATAACAGGAACCAGGGGAGCTAATCGGAGGGGATGTGGAACAGCTGTGACAAAATGAGAGCAGGGAGACTAATAAACAGAAAATACAAAGAGAAGCTGAATTAAGACACAATAGGATCTACGAATCGAGAGCAGAAAAAGATGAGGTAAAGAGAACAAACCAAGAAATGAGTAAGAAACAAAGGAATAATAAACTCTAGAAAAACACTAATATCCACAGTGACCAACAAATAGAAATGAACTGAATTCAGAAATCTCTTAACAACAGTAAATAAATGATCGGAACACAAACATCCGTAGATCATGTCACCAGTCTGGTTTTTAGAAATAACAGAGGGGACCTTGATGCAAACTGAGGTCAGGGCTTTTCAAAACCTCAATGTCTGCCTTTTTATTATTGCAAAAAAAAAAAAAAACTGTTTTGATGTGTGTTTGGGGTCATTATTTTTTAGAACCACCTAGTTGTGACAAGGTTTGAGACATCGCTCCCAAACTCGCTTAAGATAATCAGAAACATTCCATCGGGGTGTGCTGTGGTTGTGCTGTGATGGCGCAGGGGTTAAGCACAACCCACATATGGAGGCTGTAGTCCTTGACGCAGCTGTCACAGGTTCGATTCCTGGCCATGGCGACCTTTGCTGCATGTCTTCCCACTTCTCTCATTACCCACTTTCCTGTCAATTAGCTATCAAATAAAGGCCACTAGAGCCAAAAAAACCCTTAAAGAAACAGTCCATCAAGACTCTGGTCTGCCATGAATTGAACAAAGAGGATCTGAACATCTGAGGAGCCATAAGTTGAGCTATTAACAGAATAATAGGAGTTTGTATTTGATCTTTAATGTGTCATTTTGACTCGGTGTGGACTGGATCCACAAGAAATCCAAAACCCTGCACCAAATTCTTGTTTTTAAAATGGTAAATAATAGAAAAGCGTTCGTAAACTTCTGAACAACAGTCGCATCCGAACTTGCTAACAAACGAGTCAACAACCACTGTGTGACTTTGTCCGATGTCTAGTAACGGCTTGTCCTGCCGTTGCAGTGTCCAGCAGCAGCAGGTGGCGGCGCCTGCCGCCGGAGTACGGCTCCACCTCGGAGGAAGAGTTCGGCTCCAGCCGGAACTCGGCAAAGCATGGCGCTCGCCCCCACGTCCGGCCCCACCACCTCGTCCCGCACCGCAGCTCGAGGCTCGGCTCCGCCTCCAGCTCGGGACCCGCGGGCGTGGCGGCGATCCCCGGCGGAGCGGGCATCAAACACCGCATGAAGGAGCAGGAGGAGTACATCAGGGACTGGACGGCTCACAGCGAAGAGATAGCCAGGTACCGACCATCACCGATCTGCTGATTCATTTGCACTTTAAAGCAGCTCCTGAGTCCTAAAGAACCCCGTCTGATTAACAGGTTGTTCCCCTGTGTGCGCAGGATCAGCCAGGACTTGGCCAAGGACTTGGCCATCTTGGCACGCGAGATCCACGACGTGGCCGGCGAGATAGACTCGGTCAGCTCGTCCGGCACCGCGCCGAGCACCACCGTCAGCACCGCCGCCACCACCCCGGGCTCAGCCATCGACACCCGGGAAGAGGTAGGCCCTGCACGCCCCGCGCAGCCGGACATACAGGAGAGCATGAAAAAGGTGCCTGGTTTTCTTCTTCTTCTTCTTCTTCTTCTATTGCCTTAATGTTTGTGCTTTCATTGCAGCTTTGCCATTAATTGCTGTGTTTAGTAGGGGAGAAAACGAGTGCCTCTCTGCTGCTTCATAGCTTTCAGTTCTTCTCATGAGCTTCTATTTGCTGAACTTTGACTCCTTAGCTCCAGGGTTCATACGGCTGCTTAAATTCCCTAAAATCAATTTTATTTGATTCAATTTTCAACATTTGGAAAGTGCCTGATTTCTGTACTTGATATTCAAACTGCACAATTTTGTTACAAATTTCAACCTAACATTTGATTAAAAGTCTACATTTGGGAAATATATATTTTCATACACCTAATAAAAGGGCAGATACATTTTCCCCCCAATGTCTGAAGTTGAATCAAACTAAATTTTACTTATTTTCGGTAAGTTAGAATTGCCAAAATTATTTATTTTTTGCTAAATTCCTGTAAACTTTGCGAGAACAGTTTTCGTAACTTTCTTTGTACATGTCATTTATCTTAATATGATTTGTTAATTAATATTTGTTGATTAATATTTATTATTCCTACTGGCTCAGTGACTTATTGATCTGTGTAATTGAAATCAGGGTTGGCTTATATTTTGTACATTAAACAAAATGATTGAAATTGGGGGATTTTTTTTTTTTTTTAGTTAAATTAATGTTTTGTTCTCTGACCGGTCGGGTGGTAAGTGGTAGGTGTGTGAAACAAACATTACAAAATTCTGTTATATTTTAGTTTAACTTGTTCCTACTGTAGAATGTACATATTATCACAAGAAATTATTAATAACAGCAACAAAATATATAGGAGTGAATTAAAACTATCTTTTTTTAGTTCATTTTTATTGTTTCTTTCTCCAGTGTGGCACTGAAAAAGTTTACCTTGAAAATATTTCAGAGTGCTTGAATTTTACTGTGGGGAGAAGTGCACAAATTTGTTTCTACTAATTTTATCCTTATGAAAGACACAACTTTCCTTGATAAAGTGGCAAAGCCCACATTTCACACATTCTAACGTCGTTATGCAGCTCATTGAAACACGACAGTCGAGCTGAAGGTTTGATTACCTTCGCTCCCTTTGTCTCCTCTGCCTTTCTCTCTGCTCTGGCCCAGCTGGTGGATCGAGTGTTTGACGAGAGCCTCAAATTTAGAAAGATCCCTCCAGTTATTTCATCCAACAAGCCGCCAGAGATCAACGGAAAGCCCGTTGAGCACCAACCCCGAGCTCCTGACGGCCGGGAGCCGCGGGCCTTGAGGAGGCGCACCTGGAACCGAGAGGAGGTGAGGAGCAGCCTGACGAACCTAAAACACAACGACCAGCATTTTGAGGCTTTCGCAATGAAAAACAGGCTCTAATTGTGACGTTGTGGGTCTTTAGGCGGTGTTGGACAGCCTCCTGATCCACTCAGTGTCTCAGCTCTCAACCAAGATCAGACACTCTGTGGACAGAACAGCAGGAAAAATCAGGTACTTGTTGTTACGCAAAAGCTGCCATGTTCTTTGAACTTCTCCATTTTTGGTTATGTTACAACCAGATATTCATTTTACATGTAAATAAATGAAACGGTGGATCTGTGACAACTTGAATATTTCTCTTCCTGCCAGGATCTTGTTCAAGGATAAGGACAGAAACTGGGATGAAATTGAGAGTAAACTGAAGTCAGAGAGTGAAGCTCCACTTCTTAAAACCTCCAACAAGGTACAGAAAACGATCCAGCGACGCTAGAATGTTTAAAAAGAACATGAGTCAAATATGAATGGAAACTTTAATTTTGTCATCGTTTTTTTTTTTTTTTTTTTTTTTAGGAAATCTCTTCGATCTTGCTCGAACTGAAGAGAGTTGAGAAACAGCTCCAAGGTAAAGCAGAACAGATGCTGCTTAATAAAATATGCAAAAGTTGAAAAGGTTATGGCTGCAGTATGTAACTTTTATTTTTTTTACATATTTTTGCTAAAATGATTATGTTGTGACTGTATAACATAAGACAGATAATCTATAAAAACATCAACCTCCTGCCAGGGATACTTTTGCTGCAGAAATACACCAATCAGAGCAAGGAAGTCTTAGTGTTGTCAGTCATGCTTGTGCATGTGCTGCTCAGTGTACTAATGGAGAAGGAGCAACTTCTTTGTTACAGGTAAACCGTTTTTTTATCTGCCATCATCGGTGGCCGTGTTGACTGGCCTCAGCATTCATGACGGGTTTTGTTGTGGTGTAGCGTAGCAGAGAGCAAGAGGGAGAGTGTGAGCAGCCCATAAACATGGATGATTGACAGTGCTAAGACCCTCCTCCTGGCTCTGATTGTTGTTTCTGACTAAGTGGTGTATTTTTGCAGTTAGTTCTGGATGAAGGGATTTTTTTTCACAGATTATCTGTCTCATTTTGTACTGTGAGGACATTTTTAACAAATATGTAAAAAGTCATATTTTTTACAAAAGTTATATACAGCAGTTTTAACTCACCAGTTTAACATGGAAATCAGCCGTTTCACAAAGTGCTTCCTGTGTCTCAGTGATTAACGTGATGGTGGACCCAGACGGGACTTTGGACGCCTTGGCCAGCCTCAGCCTGACCAGCCCCACCAAGGTCCCGACCGCCAAAGCCACGCCCCCCACCGCCGTCAGCCCAGCCAAAGAGTCGCTGCCTGAAATCCTTCCTGGGCCTGACGGTTCGGCCGCCTCCACCAGGGTCCAGTCTTCCGCCGCCAGCACGGAGGGCCGAGAAGGCATCGTGGGTTTGAGCCTGGCGCGCGTCGTCGGGCTGCCCTTCAGTCGCAGGCGGCCGAGCGGAGAAGAGGCCATCGCACAGAAATGAACGGCAGCTCTCCCCGATGAGAAATGAATAAACGTGAGCATGGATTAGCGCGTAGGCGTCTGGCAGACGCAGAGTCTTCTTTTTACCCAACAGTGACCAGAAATGAAGTGACATTCTCAACCGCTCGACTATAGCAGAAACTTGACCCAGGGATGTTTCGGATAGCCTGACGGTAACATCCCAGCCTCCAGCTGCTGACGCCCAACAACCACCCTGACCAGCCTGACATCCTCACGGACCGAGGCCTGCTTCACTCCTCTTGCCTTCTTCGTGCGTCAGGACCCTTCCTGCGCTGAGGAAATGCCTTAAAACAAAACCCGCCCCCCTACCCCCGTAGCAGCGTCTCACCTCATCCCCTCAAACACTAATCCACACATTTTTTGTGAGCTCATAGAAGACAAACTGAATGCGTTGTAAACATGTTAAAGTAAAACTTTAACATGTTTTAGTTACACTCACACAAAGGATATTTCAGCTCAATTATGAGAAACATGGTTTAAACCTAGAAGTATTGAGATTATTCCAGAAATCAAGCAGAATTTTATTCATGTAAAAAGATGATATAAAATAATTGCCTAATAAGTAGAACATGGTTCTACTTATTAGGCTTCCATTCGTCTTGAGTTTTCCTCCTTCCATCAATTTTTCTGTCCCAGCCGCTTGAAACATACTTTCTCCCTACAGTAGCATGTTCAAAACACAACTACAAGTCAGATCTGACTCATTTCGATTGGTGGCTTTAGCAGCAGTAGCAGCTTCAGTCATGTTTACTGATGTAACTATTTTGAAATTGTTGTGGCATTTTTAAAGCAATTCATCCTCTCTCTCTCTCTCTCTCTCTCATATATATATATATATATATATATATTCTCTCTCCCAGTAAACTGGAAAGGAAACTGTGTCCTTGCCTGTAGAGAACTCAACATTTCTTATCAGCTAATAAAAGTAAAAGCCTTAAAATAAATTCAACTTTGATTGCAGCAGCACAATCTCACACTGAAAAACTCTGAAAAATCTAACAGTTTCATTAATGGTTAGCTTTATAAATGGGAACATTTATTCAGTAGCAGCCACAAGAAAACATTAGTGAATAATTTTTTTTTTTTTTTTTTTTTTTTTTGTGGATAATGACCAGTGCTACAATGATTGCTTCACCTAACATGGCCTCTAGGAAAGCAGAGTCAGAACTTTTTGCCACATCGGGTCCATCAAAATAATTTTGGGCTATTTTAATTTCTTTAAGAACGCAAAAAAAAAAAATGTGCTCAAAAATAACTTAAGTGTGCCATATTTTAATGAAACAAGTCTGATTTTTGCAATACTCATTGTGGTACCGGAATATAAAAAAAAAAAAAAAAAAGTCCCCTGTGATTGTCTTATTGATCACCTTTTCAAGTCCATTGGTTTCTATTTTGCTGTCAAAAAAACTTAGTCTAATTTCTGCAACAATGACACGCTACTGTGAGATTGTGCTACTACAGCGGGAGATAAATTCATTATTTTTAGGCTTTTTACATGTTTATTAGGGGTGCCAATCTATTTTTGTTCCAATTGACTTGTTTTTTACTTGGTCCTGTCACCTGTGGAAGGATTTCTACTTTATTCAGTCAGTGTTTGAACTAATCACTTTATATTTAAATATCCTTGTTTGATTTTGTTTACAATTGGATAATAGTCTTCCTTGCCAATCTACTACATATATTATCTCAGTGGGAAAAAGCTGCTGGAATTAGTTTTTAATAAGGTGCCGTTGAAATAATACATAATCACTAAAATGCCTTTATTTTGTTTATTTAAAAAAACAAGCAGAAATTATCTTGAAATGTGGCTCCACATTTCAAATATTGATTATTTTTTTTGTTTTTTGTTTTTATTCTGCATCATCTACGAGGGGAAACTCCAACGTACCTGGACTGCCAACCACTTGGCTGCTTTTGGAGACTGAGCATTTTTCTTCTGAACCTCTCTTCAGCTTATAGTCTGTGTGTAGACTAGGTTAAAATTTAAAGCAGTGTATTAGTACTTAGTCGCCTTTAACAATAGTGATTTTTAGGTACCAGGATACATGTTCGTTTCCCTCCCTCCATACTGTACTGTACACAGATTCTAAATGCCTCAAAGTGTCAATTTTTAAATGACAGAAGGGCATTGACTAATAAGAAAAAGGTGCAGCTGTCTAAAAAAAAAGTGATTTTATTTTGCACATCACATCAACAAAGTGACAGATTGCATCTAACTCAGGATATCAGTCTGCCTGATATCAGAAGTGACTGCCTTGCTGGTCTGAACCGATTCTGTTGCCCCTTTTCCCTCTCATGATGTCCAGAAAGTAAAAACCTTAGGGGACTGTGAATGCTAGGTACATTTAGGTATATTTTGTAAATGCTACACGTGTCATTGGATCAGTGTTCTTTGTATTTTTTTTTCTTATTTTGTAAAGAAAATCATTTTATTTATTTTTGTTTTAATATTATGTGGATGTTTTAAGCATTTTATATTTGTTCAACTATCTGCATTCTTACTGTTAATAAAAAAAAAAAGAGCTATTCACTTGTCGCGTCTTTACCGTCTCTTATTGGGTACAAACGTATCCTGATTATCAATGTCACAACACCGAAGTGAGATTTTTACATAGTACGTTGAATTACAAATCATGTTCGGTCAGCTCAATTTAAGTACACAAACATGTACACATATTTTTACTTTGTTATTGCCAATTATTTTTGCATTAATAATTAAAAAAGAAACTATTCTGAAGTCTGACATGCATTTGCAAATGTGGAAACGTGAAGGGGTCTGACTACTGTGCTGTGGACCTGCATATTCAGTTGTTTTTGTACTGAACTCGGCTCTATGCTTAAGGCAATTAATCATGTGTCAAATCAAAATGCAAATGAGTCCGCAGGTCCTTTGTGCGGCCTGAATTCTGTTATACATTTGCATCTTTTCACAGGGGGACCATCCCAGGACACAAACCCACAACAGGAAGGGTTCTCTCTGCTCAGAACCCTCCATGAAGGAGATTTCAGTATGAAAGCTTGGAAAGCACAAGGCAACATGTTGAAGACTCTGAATCCAGACCAAATGCAGTTTACACAGTGCATCGAAAAGGTTTTCAAACTTTCTCGCATCTGGTCACAGCCGCTAACTTCTGCACATTTTACCGAGATTCTGAGATGTACCAGCGCTAAATAGTGAATAATTGTGAAGTGGAAGTAAAATGACAGTTTTGAAAGCGTTACATAGATAAAAACTGGGAAATATGCGGCATGCCTTTGTAGTCAGCCCTGGAGTTAACAATTTAAGAACCTCTATTGCCACAATTTCAGTCTTTTGGGGTAAGTCTTTACCAGCTTTGCATATGTGGAGATGAACATTTTAGGGGGCCAAAACGGCTTAAGCGCAGTCAAACTGAGTGGAGCTTTTCTGCAAATATTTATTTTCAAAGATTCTTAGTTGGGTTTAGGTCTGGTAATTCTAGACCTAAACCCAACTAGGTTTAGAATTACCTAAATTTGATCTAAACCACTGCATTAAAGTTCTGGATACATTTTTAGGATTGTTTTTCTGCTGAAAGGTAAAACCTCTGCCCCAAATCTCAGACCTTTATATCCCAAAGGACTCTTCCCTTATAGTTAGGTGCGTGGCAACGGGGGAAATATCTAAAACATGATGAGTAGTGGCGGCTGAGGACCAACAATGAAAATCATTGATTTAGGCTGAGGATTCCACCAGAGTATTGAAGAAATATAACTTTCCAATTTTTTCCTGCACATCTAGGTTTGCGAAGTTATGACCCGAAGTGCAAACGTTTAAAAACCATGGCCCCCAACAGACACGAGTTTCAAGCAACCCTCATGCATTTTTATTAACACCACAAAAACCTCACATTTGTTTCACTGTTTCATTTTAACAGGACCGATGTCAGACAAGGGACGTCGATATGACATGGTGACGGGAGCGGGAGGAGGAAGGTTAGCCTGGGGGCCATCCCATACCGCGTCCACCCAACACGTGGACGTGGATGTGGTAGACAGACTGGCCTCCGTCGGGCCCGTCATTGATGACGATCCGGTAGCCCTTCGACAGGCCTGCGTCTTTAGCGATTTTCTTTGAAACGATCAGCAAGTGGCCCAACAACTGCAAGAGCAAAATACTCGATTAAAAACAGATTCAACACATAGGTTGCCAAGTTAATATTCATCCCCAAGACGGTTTAAATGAAACTGTTGTACATCAAATACATAAGAATTCACATATTTATATTAATGTGTACATTATTAGACAAATCAATTTGTCTAAATTACTACCAAAAACTAGTAAATCACTGAAACATTTGCATATTTTTTTTCTAATCTGCAGTCCATGCATTTTTATTTACATTGTAAACAATCACATAGTAAAATATTTAACGACTTATTTACTAAATTATATCACTTTTGGTTATTTATAGTAACACATTTAGTTCAAAATATTTGTAAATGCCTCCCTCTGGTGGTCAACGATATAAATTATTCTAAATTTAATTTTAATCTATTGAATCGTACTTACTGCAGCGTCGCCTTCCTCGGCTTGCGACAGCTGAACAATTGGCTTCTTAGGGACGACCAGGATGTGAGTGGGAGCTTGTGGAGCAATGTCATTGAAGGCAATACACTGAAATTAAAAGAGAGAAGGAACAGAAAGAAAAACAAAAATCAATAAAGTGTAGAACTCTCAGGACGACATTATTTTAGAAAATTTGATGTTTACCACAAATATGGCTACAGAACATTATACTATTGAGATGTCATGATATAATGACATCCTTACTCATGTAAACGTTCGTATGGATGTCATAATAACTTGCTGGCTCAGATCTACCTGAACCACTTCAGATGTAGCTTAACAGGTTTTTGTTCACATCTACAGTTATTTTAGGACGGCACACGCCCTAGCACACAGCATCTTTTCTGCATTATGGTGTGCTACATAATACAATAATTTATAACAAATTATTGTATTATAGGTCTGCAGGCTGCGTGCAGATCTCAAATACTGGATTGAAAGTACAGCCAACTGGAACCTCATCAATTTGCAGTAAATACAGAACGAAAGTAAAAATTCAGAAACGCACAATTCTCTGTTCTCAGAGCAATTAAATGTATCACTGGCCCTCCTCTTTGTCTCTAAAATATTACACTTTAGCACACTTTCAGGACTTGGAAATCCAACCACCACACTTTGTCTTAGCTTGCGTTCTGCAAAGCTAGCTCAGACTGAACCAAAAAGTGCTGCAGTGAAAGTGAACTGCAGCGGGCTTGAGCTGCAATAGAAATCCTTCATAAATGAACATTTCAGTTGCATACCTGATCGTCTTCATAAATCAGGTTGACGGGAATTTCTTTGCGGATGATTTTTCCAAATATTGTGTCTCCACCCGGCTGGGCAACCTGCGCTTTCGCCGTTTCATCCTCCATGTTGGCGCAGATCAACTATAGGGGGTGTGGTGTGGAGCAGATTGCTACTTTTAGCTAGCGAAGAACACGCTGAACACTGATTGGCTACAACACAGTGTCATCCCAAAACCTTCGCTGATTGGTCAACGTCGTACATACCGGAAATAGGTGGAAAAATTCAACATGGGGACTCGTTTGAAGGTGAGTGTTGAGCAATATTTATATTTAAGAAAATACTTTTAGCGAAATAGTATTTTATTTAAGTCTATTAGACTAAGTCACACTGAAGTTAATTATTCATTTTTATTTTTTTTTAGGAAATATTAAGTCACCTAAAAGCGTCAGTTACAACTGTCTGAATTCACAGCTGCTAAATGTGTGTTAAGTTAACGGTTTAATGTGTATAAATACAGGTTCTAAGCGTGTTTAAAAAGCTGCACAGAACAAGAATGGATGTATTCAGAGAGGATGAAAGAGCTTTGACAGGTGAGGTCACACAGCAGGATAGCTTATCTCTCTGCTGAAGAAAAGAGCAAGTATATTACTATTGGATTTTTATTATCGGATGTTTGTTTTCTTTTTAAAGCTGCAAGGTTACAGATCAACGAGGAGTTCAAGAAAAACAAAAATGAAACGTCAGAGGAAAACATCGAAAAGGTCCATTGAATCATATACACGCACACACACACACACACACACACACACACACACACACACACACACACACACACACACACACACACATATATATATATATATATATATATATATATATATATATATATATATATATATATATAATGACTTTGACAAACGGAAAAGTAAAAGTAATATAAAATAACTACTGTTATAATAATGTTTTATTTGTTATATTGATAAAACAAAAACATAGAATAAAGACTACTGGTGCATTTAGTGCATTTTAATGACTACATTAAATGACGGGCCAGCTCTATCCAAAATAACTCCAATAGCTCATCTATTACTCATCCCAGATGTCACAAAAATACGACATGTAACTGTCTTCAAGCCTAACTTAAAATAATGACATAAATGGGAGAGTTTCAAGGCCAGAAGCACATCTCATAAAGAACACAAAGATCCGTGTCCATTTTCCAAATAAACATCTTGATAATTTAAGACTTTTGGTAAAATATTCTGTGGACTGACGAGACAAAAATGAAACTTTCTGGGAGATTTACAATCCCTTGCATCTTGTACACAATTGACTCAGCATTTCAGGAAAATAAATTAAATATATGAGGTCTTTTTGCTGGTTCAGGGACTGGGTGACTTGCCGTAGTTGTTAGAACCATAAATTCAGTTCATGGCACCAAGTTCAAACACACGGGTTACATCGGACAATATTCCAAAACACATCCAACTGAATTTCCAATTTGTTGCTACCAAAGGTGGCACAGTCAGTAATTAGGTTTAGGCTGTACCGTAATTTTTTTCACATATGGCCAGATTCGTTGGTGTAAGTAGCCTTTTCTTTTAATGAATGAAGTCCTTGTTTGAAAATTGCACTTTACATTTACTTAGGTTACCATTTATATTACATTTTTGTTTGAACTGACACATTTAAACATGTAGAGTTCCTTAGTCCGTCATATCTATCTGTTTTTGTTTTTTGTTTTGTTTGTTTTTGCAAATTAAAGATGATTAAAATGGGCTCTGATGTGGAAGCTGTTCTTCGTGAGACAGTGCTGCAAGTGGAACACGTTGCAGAAAACAAGCTCCGTATGTTTCTTCTCCTTGCACCTCATGCTTGCTGTACAACTTATTGTTGATATGATCCCCTGTTGATTCACTACACCTCTTTTCCTTCCACAGTGCTTCGACCTAGAGAGGGTCTACTGTTGGAAAATGTACCCTATTGTGATGAACCAAGGAAAAAATCATGACCATCCTTCCTTATTAATTTTGAGGATCAGTCAAGGGACATTTATCCATCACTCCCATCTGCCGTTTAATGGAAATCACAAAACAATGCTTGAAGTTGTGATGACTTCCTCCTGAGCCATTGCATTATGGCTAAAAAAGGGTGCTGTAAACTTGATGCCATTATTTCGTGTACAGTATTTTATTAGTTGTAAAATGTGTTCTG